TGGAAAAGAAGAACAAAACTAGACAGCCTGCAATTCCTTATTTCAAAACTTAGTACAGTCACTCCTCCATATCTGCAGCTTCCGCATCCACAGATTCAATCAACTGTGGATCAAAAATATTTGGGAAAAAAAATTCCAGAAAGTTCCAAAAAGCATAACTTGAACTTGCCATGCGTCAGCAACTAGCTGCACAGCATTACCACTGTATTAGGTATTATAAGTCATCTAGAGATGATTTAAAGCATACAAGAGAATGTCCTTAGGTTATTTGCAAATATGCCATTTTATATAAGGGACTTGAGCATCCATGGATTTTGGTATTTGTGGGATCCTGCAACCAATTCCCCCTGGATACCAAAGAACTATATAAAGTTACAGTGATCAAGATAGTGACGGTATATAAGGATAAACATTATAGATCAAGGGAACACAACTGAGAGCCCAGAAATAAATCCTTACATTTACTTCAACTGATTTTTTACAAAGGTGCCAAGGCAACTCAGTGGGGAAAGGGTAGTTTTTTAAAATGCTTGCTGGAACAATTGGATATCTATATGCAAGACAAAAATTTGGATCCCAACTCACACCATTCCCAAAAATTAACTCAAAATGAATCACAGACATAAATATAAGAGCTAAAACTATTAAAACAAATTTAGAACATAAAAGTGAATCTTGTGACCTTGGATTAGACAAAGAATTTTTAGATGAAACACCAAAAACATGATCCATGACGAAAAAAAACTGATAAAGTGTACTACAACAAAATGAAAACGTTCATGCTTCAATAGACACTCTTCTTAAAAGGCAAGCACAAATTAGGACAAAAAGACAAAGCCACAGATTGAGGCAAAATATTTGCAAATTATATATCTGATAAAGGACTTGTATCCAACATATATAAAGAACTCTTACAACTCAATAATAAGCTTACAACCCAATTAAAAAACGGGCAAAGATCTGAATCCACCAACAGCACATGAAAAGATGCTCAACACCATTAGCCATTAGAAAAATGCAAATTACAACTACAATGGGATTCCAGCTCACCACTAACAGAAAAGCTATAATCAAAACAGCTGACAATAACACGCATTGGTGAGGATGTGAAGAAACTAAAATCCTTCTACATTGCCGTCTGGAATGTAAAATGATGCAGCCACTTTGTAAAACAATGTGGCAGTTCTTAAAAAGTTAAACATGTATTTACTGTCGGACCCAGAAATTCCACTAAAGTAGTAACCTACTCAAGATAAATAAAAATATATGTCCGCAGAGCTAATAATAAGCTCATCCTGATTTTTTCCGCGTACCAATGCTTCCTTGATGCAACCTAAGGTTTTCTGTGATCTCAAGTAGTCACCTCTTGATCCCATGACCTAGAAATAAGTCATCCCTGCTTGAGGAAATGAAAAAGTATTTCAGATTAACACAGGTCCAAACCTACCCTGAACTGACAGCCACCCACCAGCACCAAAAAGTTCCACAAAACCCACCAAAAGGGAAAAAAGTCCTTAGATGAGAAGTTCCTCAAGAGAATATTCATTTATGCATTTGGTAGCTTCGTAACACTGCTTTTGTGTGCTATCTCCAAAGCATATTTTGACAATATATTTAGAATTCTCATTTTCCAAAAAAAAAAAAAAAGTATGTCCACAACACAAAGATTCACACACAAATGCTCACAGCAGAATTATGCATAATAACTAAAAATTGGAAATAACACAAATATCAATTGGTGAAAGGATTACAAAAAGTGGTATATCCATACAATGGAATAATGGAGCAATTATTTTTTTTAAAAAATCACTGATATATGCTAAAGCATTGATGAATCTCAAAACCATTATACTATATGAAAAGAGCCAGAAGCAAACGACCACATGCTGGGGCTTCCCTGGTGGCACAGTGGTTGAGAATCCACCTGCCAAGGCAGGGGACACGGGTTCGAGCCCTGGTCTGGGAAGATCCCACTTGCCGCAGAACAACTAAGCCCCTGTGCCACAACTACTGAAGCCCACACACCTAGAGACCATGCTCCACAACAAGAGAAGCCACTGCAACGAGAAGCCCGCGCACTGTAACTATAGAGAGCCCACGCGCAGCAAAGAAGACCCAACTCAGCCAAAAATAAAAAAAACAAAACAAAAACAAAAAAAGACCACATGTTGAAATTTATATGAAATACCCAGAAAAGGCAAATCTAGAAAATTCATTAGTGGGATTGGGAAGTGACCGCAAATGGGTAAAAGGAATCTTTTGAGGGTGTCAAAAACCTTCTAAAACTAGATTTTGTGATGCTATGCAACTCTGTAAATTTACCAAATAATATTGAATTATACACTTAAAACAAGTGATATATAAATCATACCTCAATAAAGCTGTTTTTAAAAAAATTAACAAAGTAAAAGGGTCCAAAATAGTCAAGGTGCTCCTGAAGAACATTAGAAAAATTATCAAACTATATCAAAATCCAACAAAGCTCCAGTAATTAAGGCAGTAGAGTACTAGAGCAAAAGACAAAAGGAACAGAACAGAGACCCCAGAAATAGACCTCTGTTTGAAGGAAACTCAATATACACCAGAGAGGGCATTACAAATCAGTGGGGAAAGGGCAGTCTTTTCAGTTGAATGGTTCTGGGAGACTGGTTATCCGTATGGGGAAAAAAAAGAAAATCAAGTCCCTATAGCACACTGTTTTCAAAAAAAAAAAAAAAAAATCAATTAGTCTTAATTCTTCCCTTTTCCCTATACCCACAGCTGCCCTCTTTTTCGTGTAATTAAAAACAATTTTTACTGAGGTGTGTACAACATAACAACTCAGTATTTGTATAGGTTGAGAAATGATTGCTACAGTAAGTCTAGTTACCACCTAACACCATACATACTTAACTTTTAGGATTTACTCTCTCAGCAACTTTCAAGTATGCTCTACAACATTACTGACTATAGTCACCATGCCGTACACTACAGCCCCATGACCTATTTACTTTATTGCTGGAAGTCTGTACCTCTTGACCCCTTTCTTCACCTGTTTCACCCACTGCCCAATCCCCATCCCCTCTGGTAACCACCACTCTGTTCTCTGTATCTATGATTTTGGTTTGGTTTTATCTGTCCATTTGTTTTGTTTTTTAGACATAAGTGAAATTGTAACGGTATATTTCTTTCTCTGACTTATTCTGCTTAGCATAATTCCCTCAAGGTCCCTTCAGAAAAATTTTCATGTAATTTAGCAATTCCTCCCACATGGAAAGTACAGAGAGTAGAGTATACTTTCCTACTCCCTGACTTTGGGCTTGGCTATGTGACTTACTTTGGTCAATGGGTTGTAAGTAAACATGATGTGATGCAAACAGGGCCTTGCCCTCTTGTCCTTCTGCCAACGCCATGAGAAAAACATGCCCCAGCTAGCCCCTTGGTCCCAGAAGGAGAGTGAGACAAATGTGGGGCAGAACCATCCCAGTGGTTCTGCTTTATGAAGCACAACCAACCCAGCCAGAGCCAGCCTGTATCAGCCTATTCCCAGCCAATCTGCAGATGCATGGAAAAAGAAATGTTTACTTTTATATGCTACTGCGAGTCTTGTGGTTGGTTTTAAACACCATTATTGTGATAACTGTTAACTGATAGAATTTCCAAAGGATTAAAATATAAATGTAAAAAGCAAAACTACAAAAACCTAAAAAAAATTAAAGTACTTTACAGCCTCATGATAGGGAAGGATTTCTTAAGTAAGACACAAAACACAAAACCTACCATAAAGAAAAAGATTGCCAAAACAAGTAATTCTCCTCACTGAAACACCTTTAAAAAAGTGAAAAGACAGCCCACAAAATGGGAGAAGTCTTGTCACACATACGTCACAAACAATTTATATATAAAAATCAATTTATAAAGGACAATCAGCCCAATAGAAGCATAGGCAAAAGATATTAATGGCATTTCACTGGAGATGAAGCTCAAAACCCAGTAAGCTTAAGAAAAAATGTTGAACTTTATGAAAATAAAACTATGTGGCACCATTTTTACACACACTAAATTGGCCAAAAAATTTAAAGTCGTGACAATATAAAGCATGAGTGAGTGGGGAGCAACAGAAATTCTTTTACACAGTTGACGGCAATAAAAATTGTTATAAGTACTTCAGAAAAGATTGGTATTATCTTAAGTTTTTGTTTTTTTTTTTTTGCGTTACGCGGGCCTCTCACTGTTGTGGCCTCTCCCACTGCGGAGCACAGGCTCTGGACGCGCAGGCTCAGCGGCCATGGCTCACAGGCCCAGCCGCTCTGCAGCATGTGGGATCTTCCCGGACCGGGGCACGAACCCGTGTCCCCTGCATCGGCAGGCGGACTCTCAACCACTGCGCCACCAGGGAAGCCTGGTATTATCTTAAGTTTTAAGATGATACAACAATTCTATTCCTTGGTACACTCAGTACAACTCACACCCATTTTCATCAGAAGACATGTAAAACAGTTATTTATAATAACAGTTTACATTTAAAAAATTGAAAATAACCTCAATGTCTGTCAATAGTAGAATGACTAAATAATTTGTAACATATTCATAGAATAAACGTTATACAAGAGTAAAAATGAATGACAGCTGCATGCATATACATGAATGAATCTTACAAGCATAACGCTGAGTGAAAACAGCAAATCACCAATAAGTATAGAATATGATACTGTTTAATATCCAAACCCAAGCAAAACTAAATATAATATTTGGTGAATCATACACATTTGGTAAATTTACAAAGAAACAAAACAAGAACAAAAACACAAAAAGACAGTGACAAATCCAGAAAGGGAAGCAGGTCCATGGAGATCCACATATATATCTATTTATATGTATCAAATATTTTATAGGTTTTTAGTGGGGTAGGAGAGAGAAAAAGACTTCTATTTGAGAAAATGTAAAAAGGCCTATGTCCCCATGCCAATTTCAAGAGACATTTCAGAGGGGGGAAAAAAGTGTTAAATCATTAATTTTACCTTTTTTATGTATTTTATTTTCATGACGACTTCTTTTCAGGATTCAAAACCTAGTATGGCGGAAAAAAAATCACGCAATCATTTTTATGCATTAAATTCAGGTACGTCATCATACTCTTGTAATTTTCTAAAGATTCCAATAATATTCATCCTAGTAATCATCTAATAATATTTACTATAAGGGGAACTGGAAAATGACTTTTACATTTATCATTTTTTCCACATACATTCATGCTAATAAACAACCAAATATTTGGTATAATTTCTAATTCCAGGGTAACCCTTCATATTTCACAACTAAAAATATCCAGAAACAAGGACCTTTGACTGTCTAATATTTGCATATAGTCAAGGGAACTTCTGCCGCAAGATGGAATGGTTTGGTTTTAAAAGAATCTTTTATTTTCACTTATATTTCAGTTTAATTTTGAAAAGACTAGCTCCAATTAACACATGGGAAATGAAAGAACATAAACGACTATTATTTTTCAATTATCTTTTCTTACATCTGAAAGAATATTTGAAGAAAACTTTGAAATAACTACTTAAGTATGTTTTGATGTAACCCTAAAATATTTATCAACCAATGATCCTTAACTTTCCTTCTAAGAGTATAACAGGAGTACCATTTCTCCTACTTGCTTTGTTTTCCTCTGGTTAACTTAGCTACTAAGGTTGCTAACTACACTGAAGGTTTTAAGAACATTCCAATTTACACCAGCAGTAAGTATAAATTTTCCTTTAAGCTACAAGAAAAAATATACAAATGAATTTTCTAAACTGAAGTAAATCCTTAGATTATCAGTCCTAATATAACCCACATGCTACCCTATGAGGCACTCTTCTTAAGAAACTGTGAGTGTCTTTTCAAATTCCACCCTTAGTTCAAAAGTATTCTTTAAAAAAGAAAAACAGGGCCTTCCCTGGTGGCACAGTGGTTACGAATCTGCCTGTCAATGCAGGGGACACGGGTTCAAGCCCTGGACCGGGAGGATCCCACATGCCGCACAGCAACTAGGCCCATGTGCCACAACTACTGAGCCTCTGCTCTAGAGCCTGTGAGCCACAACTACTGAGCCCACGTGCCACAACTACTGATGCCTGTGCGCCTAGAGCCCGTGCTCCACAATAGGAGAGGCCACTGCAATGAGAGGCCTGCACACCGCAACGAAGAGTGGCCCCCGCTCACCGCAACTAGAGAAAGCCCGCGCACAGCAACGAAGACCTAACACAGTCAAAGATAAAATAAAAAAATAAAATAAATTAAAAAAAAAAAGAGAGAGAAACAAAAATTAAAATTGTACTTACTTTAGCCAACAGTTCTTGTGTTTCAGCAGTCAGTGGAGCATGTGAAAACTTGCAATATTCTCCCTGATAACATTTTGCTCCTGTATGGTAAAACTTGCAAGGATATTCATGTTAACCCAAATGTTAAGGAAAAGAACAACTGTAATCCAACTAAAATAATTTGTTATTCATTTAGTAACTTTATTTTTCCTACGTAAAGTTCTTTTCTACTAGTAGAAACAAATTCTCTATTTAAAATACGAGACAGTAAATTATTAACTGGATTATAAGAAAAATCTAATTTTAGGATGATTATAAAGTTTATTGGCTATCACAGGACACTTTTTTCCTTCATATCCATTCTTAAAATAAACTACAGGTATACTTCACTGATATAAGAGAGGGATGTGTATTTTAAATACTTTGAGAAATGGGATTATTTTTAAAGCATTCTTTTGCGGTGCGGGGATTAAAGTCAATGACAATGATATGTCTTACAAATCTGGATCCTTCATATATTAGGCTTGTATAAAATAGGAACAATTTATACAGCTTCGATATTGTTTTCTAGGAAAAATTTCTCAAGTTAGAATTTGCGGTTCCTTGTATTGAATGACTGAAGGAAAACAGCTTTTGTGTTGATCAAAGGTCCAGTTACCCTAAAATGTTTATGTTCGTATTTTTACAACATGTCTAGACCATTTACACTGAAGAGTTAGGGTTATTCTTCAAATTAAGGGACAATTAACCTTTGTACAGTACTGAATGTGCAGAAAACGAGTACTCCCAAACTGTGCAATTCCTGCCTCTTTTATGAAGCGGATTACATGAATATAGATTCAATTAGTGGATGTCACAGCAGAAATTCAGAGTTTTTCTGGATAGGTCTGAATAGGTCTCATGACGCTGTTACACTACCCAGGTTGGGAGGATGTGCATTTGAGAGAATTTCTAAAGACTCTTGCTTGGGGGGAAAGGAAAAAAATCTGTGTACAATTTAATCACTTCAATACTGAGTTGAGCTTGGATAATGTAATTTTGCCATGGCTAAAACACTGGTTTCACTCAAAATTTTACATTCATGTAAATGTTTATGAAAAGTAAAGTTACTGTACCTTGTGATAAAGGATATTATGCAAATACAGACAGTTTTCACCTCTGGTACAATATCCTTGTACATAAAACTTACACATTTCCTTTTTCTTCTCTATCTCTGCAGCATGATCAAATTTACACTGGTCTCCCTGGGCCAAAAGAAGGAATAAGGAAAAACCATTATTCCTCATAGTTACGTCATTACAATTCCTACTTAATGATTCTAGAAGAAAACAAAGTCTTAGAAGCAGTACAATCTAATTCTTAACGAGCCATCATAACCACATCACATATATACATCTGCTTAAAAATCTGTCAAGTCCTTAATATTTTTAACACAAAGCATTTTTTTAAAAAATTATCTACTCTCCTAAACATAAAAGAATATTTCAGTAAAATTTTCTAAGTGAAACTTTCCCAGAAGGAAACGGTTCTAAAATTGTACAGGTACACTTTTGGAGTGTCTAATGGAAAGAGGAGTCGGTTTTAGTACACTTTTGCTATATCTCACATTTTAGTATATTTTTGCTTACACGTTTTTTATACCTTAATACATTTCCTTTCAAGGAAATATTTACAAATTTGTTTTCCCTGGCGTTGCACCGTATGTTGGTTGATGAATCCCTGACTCATTCTCACAGGCTGCTGCTTCTCTTTAGGTTTGCCATCCTTTGAAAACAAAAACAAAAAACTAAATGTGAGAAATAAAAAATTAAATATCTTATTCCATTGTACAAAAAAATGTGTTCTTTCAATTAATTAATTATTTATTTATTTTTGGCTGCATTGGGTCTTCGTTGCTGTGTGCGGGCTTTTTCTAGTTGCGTCGAGCGGGGGCTACTCTCTATTGCGGTGTGGGGGATTCTCACTGCGGTGGCTTCTCTTGTTGTGCAGCACAGGCTCTAGGCACACGGGCTTCAGTAGTTGTGGCTCGCGGGCTCTAGAGTGCAGGCTCAGTAGTTGTGGCGCATGGGCTTAGTTGCTCCGTGGCATGTGGGATCTTCCCAGACCAGGGATCAAACCTGTGTCCCCTGCATTGGCGGGCAGATTCTTATCCACTGTGCCACGAGGGAAGGCGGTACAAAATTATTTTAAACCACCTTTAAAAACATTAAAAAGTAACTCTTCTGAATTGGCCTGCAGGTAAGATGTGGACTTTTGCACATCAGTTGAAAAAAATTAATGTTTTGTCAGTTTCAACAGCATTCCATCACTGAACATTATGAATATGAATATTTTATTGTACCTTTCCCTTGTTTTAAAAAATTAATTTAAAAATTTTAAAAGGAAAGTACCACTACTTCTGATTAAAAAGTGAAGTCTAAGAACAAGCCTCTTCAGAACAATGGGGACAAACCTCAAAATCATAAGGTAAACCAAAAGTAGTGTGATCTTTCATTTCAGTGAGATGCTCACTACGTGTGAGCTGAGTGTACTGACGAGCTCAAATTAACAAACATAATTAGAAATATACCCTCAAAAATGGCAATAAAGGTACGAAAACAAAAGGGGAATTTCATTTTACGTCTTTAGAAACATAAATCACTTTTAGTGTGTTAACTTGTGGTACAACTTACAGCTTCTACGTACCATATACCCGCATACAGTCTTAGGAATTCAGTAAGTACAAAGAAGGGAGCTGACTGTATATTTACGTGATCTGCTTTGCAATAATGTCAGACTTCCACTTAGCACCATCAAAATTACGTGTCTAATAAATATGTCAGTTTTAACTCTGGGTTTTATTTTGATTATGTTATTAAATTCTAACATATATGTTTACATTTGTTCCTCATGTAGCAGGGCTGTCAGCTTTGGCTGAATAATCATTTGAGTCAATCTAAAACAAATGAAAGGGGGGACTTCGCTTGTGGTCCAGTGGTTAAGACTCCACGCACCCAGTGCAGGGGGCCCAGGCTGTCAGGGAACTAGATCCCACATGCCGCAACTAAAGATCCCGCATGAATCAACTAAGACCTGGCGCAGCCAAATAAATAAATAAATATGTAAATAAATATATATTTTAAAAAAAAACAAAGGAAAGGGAAACTGCCTGGGTCTAGCCCTGCCCTGGCCCTTGTAACTACAGGCAGTTACCTAAACCCTAGGGCTTCGGACTCCTCCTTTGTAAAACAGATTTTATATAAATACATTTCAATCTATAATATTTGGTATTTCTAATATTTTACCACCCTCAACTCCTGCCTCCTGAACCAAGCCGAACCAAGCCTAACGAAGCCCAACTAAAGGTGGTCATCCAGCTTAGAAGCCCTCAGAAAAGCAGAGACCAGAGGAGTCACTTATTGTTCTACCGTGATTACATCTGCAGACCAAGGAAGAGGAACTTCTACAAAGCGAAAGCAAAATCAAAATTCCAGGAGGTAAAAAAATTTAAAAATAAATAAATAAATAAATAAAATAAAATAAATTCCAGGAGGGTAGGGAGTGTCTGATAAGGTCAAAGCTCAAAAATATTCATCTTCAATTTCCAGAGGGAGTCAAAAACCAACAGACCAGGGACTTTAAGAGTAGAAACTCTGTAAGACTCTGTGGCCTTTGGAATGTCCTCATGGCTATCTTATATTCTCCCTGCCTCCCATATCTGTTTTTGCACAGCCCTCAGAAATCAGGGGGCTTGTGTGCGTGTATACAGGGGCAACAGGTATGACACTAAGGCCTGAGTGGGCGCTGGCAGCTAACGAGTGTGAGGGAAGGCAGCCCAACAGTGAGAAAGAAGAACCCATGGAGACCACTGGAGGTAAGAGGAGATCCCATTGGGGTGCAAGATGAAAATCCAAGGGCAGGCAGTGCCCTCCGACAGGCGTATATTCTCATACCTGTTCCTGTGAGCCACTGTTCCTCAGGGAAGCGTTTGATCCTTTGTCTCTAGTGCCAGGCCATTTTCGCTTCATTTTCTTCTGTTTACCATTCTTGCGAACAGCTTTAAGGTTTTTATTTTTATTTTTTTGTTTAACAGCTAAAAGCAAGAAAGTTAAATTTAAAGATGATATAAAAGTACAATAGCAGTTTACTCTTAAGAAGTATATTCTATAATAATCCAGGAAAACTTCTCCATTGCTCGAAGAGTAATAACTAGGATGATGCTGACCTGTCTTTCTAGAAGCGCTTGGATTAATATATTGTGGATCCCAAATTAACTCTTTGTGAAAATATATAAGGTATTATTGGGGAAAAAAACAAGATAATTCATGAAATCAATCTTGCTAGCCATCAGCCAGATCCTTCTGAAGTGTTCAGAGTACAATAGGTCTAAGTAGGAACTGCTGCTATAGCACTGTAACAGTAAAACCTTCAAATGTTTTAAATGACCTCATATATGGCTGTCAGATTACTCACTGAAAACATTTTATACATTAAGTTTATCTATAGATCCATTTTAAATAGAAGAACATTTAAAGAGGGGAAAAAAATAAAATGAGAAGATTAAGAATTTCATTTACAATTGTTATTTATTCTCATATCTGTGGCTTAATTTCATTTTAGTAATCTAAAAGAATATATTTCTGACTTTAGTCTGACACACTACCATCCCAGACATTAATTAAACTCATTCTTCTTTAGAGGACAGCAAACAGGTATTTCCTGTCCTTCACACATGCTGAGGCCAGGGATTTAGCATTCTCCCTTTCAAAGCAGTCATGTCCTTTGAAAACCCTCCTGAACTCTCCGCTCCTCCCGCAAACTAAGCGTTTGTACACCAAGTGACCAGCTCACACTTGGTGTAAAGATCCAGGAAAACGTGATCTTATCATGAGATAAAATGCAAGCGAACCCCTCCCCCCCATCCATATGTGGATAAATGTGGCTGCTTTTCTAGATAACTTTAAATGATAAAATAATTGGACTCTTACCTTTACCTTTCTGGGTATCCTTTGCTCCCTCTTTCTTCACAGATTCTTCAGGAAGCGATAAGGATTGAGTAACATTTGCCATCTCTTTAGCTTGTATATATTGTTGAAGCTCTTTAGCAAAATTATCTTCTGATTCCTGACTGCAGATATCGTTATCACTATATACATCATAGTCCTTACTTCTTGATTTTCTATGTCGCAAATTCTTCCGTGATGTAGAGTTTCCGAAGTGCCTAAACTAAGTGAAAATTACATTTTCAATTTTTAAAACCTAGTATGATTCAAAACAATCTGGTTATAAAGAAGAAGCAAAGACTGGCCATGAATTGATCACTGTTGAGGTTGGGAGATGGGTATATAGGGGTTTCATATGCTATTCTTTCCGTTCTTATGTATATGAAATTTTCCAGAATGAAAAAAAAAAAACCCTATCCTTAAAGATGGTTTGAGGGAAGATTCTGAATTTGTACACTGTACTTTACTGAACTGAAAGACTAAAGCCTCGGGGGGTGAGATGAATTGGAAGATTGGGATTGACATACATACACTAATCTGTATAAAATAGATAACTAATGAGAACCTGCTGTGTAGCACAGGGAACTCCACTTCGCTGTACGGTGGAAACTAACACAACATTGTAAAACAACTATACCCCAATAAAAGAAAAAAAGAAAAGAAAAAAGAAAGACTAAAGCTCTATATCTTAATTATTTGATATAAAGGAACTACAGAATTATAGTTCACATTTTACTTCTCCCTTTGCATAGACTATACTTTTAAACAGTTTAACTCAATAGCTCGTCATTTCATAAAAGAACAGAACACTGTAATGGCCCAACTGAAAATCCGCTATACTAAGTAAGATACATCACACATACCAAAGCCTATTTTTTCCCTATAACTCACAGCACTGGTGGCATAGGATGTGGCAGCAATGATGAGAAGAAAGAATTGCCCCATTCTCTGTAATTAAGTTAATTTTACTTTCAGAAATAGTCTTCTAACTCTGTTGTTGGAGCTGCCCCAAGGTGACAGCTACAAACACAGGCATCCACTGGAACAGGAACTCAGGTATGGCAGCTGACCCTGAAGCAGCCCGAGGTGATCAAAGCAGACAACTTAAAGCACTTTGCATATAAAAATTTCCAAGTACCGGTTACACAGGTGTCTATACTTGGTGACACAGGTATATCAAGCTGTACAGTTACAACCAGTACATTTCAATTAAAAAGTTTATTTTTAAAAAGCCCAACTGCCAAAGGGCTCCTATTCTGATCTCAGGAAGAGATGATATGTCTATCATTAAATTGGCCAATTATCCTGCTCCAGAGCTTTCGGGCCTGGTCTCATCTACCCTCACATAACTGAGGAAGGCAGCAAAGGAGAATCACAAAATATACTAGGTGGTCCAGTTTAATGGTTTACCTTTGATGGTTAACTTCCAAGCTAGAAGCTCTACCACTGGAGGGTTGACTATGGTATAGAAAATGAATTTGCCCCCTGCTTGAAGAATCCGAACAAGCTGAGAAGGTTGCCTAACCTGACAAGGGCTTCACTGTACATCTTATTTTCATTACACCAGACAAGACTACCAACCAATCCAATCTTCAAGCCTCCAAGTTTCTCATCTCTGAGTCCTCAAGAAAAGAGCACCTTTTCCAACATACCATAGAACAAACTTGTAAACAGCTTCAGGTTAGGGGCCTGGCCTCCTGCTCTTATAAATAATGTTTTGTTGCAACAGTCACACTCATTCATTCATTCATTAATCTATGGCTGCTTAGCTGTGAGAGACGATATGGCTCACAAAGTCAAAAATCTGGTCCATTATGAAAAAGTTGGCTGACTCCTGTGATAATTATTATGTTTACCTTGGTTTTGGCCTTTAATTTTATTTAGTAGGCACAGGGAGAACCAAAAATTCATTCAATATCCAACAGTTCACAAGAAGTTTAGCTCAATCAAACATGAGATTCTATTCAGTGCATCTGAATCAAAATATTACGAGGATCCAAATGGGTGATTATGTGTTCCCCCTCCCCCGCACAAGATGCGGAGGCCTGCGGTACTGAAGCAGACCCCTTTTACTACAAGTAGTAACAAAACTGACTTATTTGTATTAAATGAAGAGATGAGATGACTTGGCAACATTATAAAACCAGGACAATCATCAACTATGTTGTTTTACTATAAAATATTCCTAATTGATATGATTCTTTTCAGAGGGCACCGAAACACACAATATACAAATGATTGCTTAAATACTTTTCTTCATGCAGCTAACTTTAAACTCATTGCTTCATGCAGCTAACTTTAAACTCATTGCTCCAATATACAAATGATTGCTTCAATACTTTTCTTCATGCAGCTAACTTTAAACTCATTGCTCTTTTCTTCATGCAGCTAACTTTAAACTCTATACAATTTGGAAAGTATAAGAACACGATATTACAACTTTTTTATGTTTTATAAAGGAGTCTACATAAAGTATTTTTCTTCTTTTTTAAGTAAAAGATTTTCTTGCATTTGATTCAGGATGGTATATAGAACTCGTATGGCCTCCTGAAATTCCACAGAAATAAAAGTATAGAAATATAAAAATTAATAGTCCTAAAATAGTGTGTGTATAGGAGACGGGGAATGAAGTACACTCATTTGGAATTAAGAAAAGTTCAACAAATTCCTGGCAAATTTTTGACAAACAAAAAGCAAGTTATAATTTGGAGACTGGGCTTAGGGTGCAGTGTGAGAAATAGGGCTATAAATGAGAATGGCTTAAAATTCTACATAAAAACAAACAAAGCTATTGTAACAAATTATCTCTGCCCACCCACCCCCAACCCAGAGTACAATCAAACAAAAATTTACCCTGGGCAGGGGACTTCCCTGGTGGCGCAGTGGTTAAGAACCCGCCTGCCGATGCAGGGGACACGGGTTCGAGCGCTGGTCCGGGAAGATCCCACATGCCACGGAGCAACTAAGCCCGTGCACCACAACTACTGAGCCTGCACTCTAGAGCCCAAGTGCCACAACTACTGAACCCACGTGCCTAGAGCCCCTGCTCCGCAACAAGAGAAGCCACCGCAATGAGAAGCCCGTGCACCGCCACGAAGAGGCTCGCCGCAACAAGAGAAAGCCCGCACGCAGCAACAAAGACCCAACACAGCCATAAATAAATAAATTTTTAAAATTTATTAAAAAAAAAAATTTACCCTGGGCAAAAAGAGAGCTATTCGCTAAAGAAATGTATTAAAATGTCTGATAAAAGCCAAGTCTTCTTGTATGGGTACTAAGACCCCAGAGTGAAGTCCTCCATATTCTGACATTTGGGAGCAACTCCCACCAGAAAAACACTCTATCCACTCACCCTATATCAGGGTTCTTAACCTGCTGTCCAGAGATGGCCCCACCCCGCCCTGCCTCTGGCCAAGGGTTTATGGATAGAATTCAATGAACTTGGATAGTAATAAAAATCACACATTATTTTCATCAACCTCTAAATTGACACTTGGCATTTTCTTCTGCTTTGAACTACAGCAACAAACCACAGTAGTATTAGCAGCAGCTGCGACTGTCACCACTAGAAATCACAGGCACTTTCATATATTATAGTTATTGCAGACCTCAAAATATCTTTTATGTTTATAACTATGTCAAAATTACAGTAATTAGACCTAACGCTGGATCTTACTATTTAGTGCATTTATAAAGAGCATATTACTCTTACCCCATTTGTTCTTTAATATTTTGATAACTGTGTTTCAATAAGATCAATTTCCATTGTAATCCAACATATTTTATACACTTAAAAACATTATTATAAGGGGCCCATGGGCTTCACCAGACTGCCAAAGGGGGTGCATGGCACAAAGAAGGTTAAGAACTACTATGCTGCTGGAAACCTAGAGATGCACACATCCCACTCACGTACTGAATGCCCCATCAGGCTTTCCATTTAGGAGAAAGGCCTATGGAGACATAGACCTACCAACAGAGCAGCAAAGAACATCCATCAACTCTCCAGGCCTTTCTTAAATCAAGAGACAAAGAAAAACAAAAGCTAATGATGAAATCTAGAGCAGTGGTCATTAAAATATAACCAAGGGCCAAATCTATCCTGCTACCTGTTTTTGTAATAGTCAGCAAGCTAAGAATGGTCTTTACATTTTTTAAATGGTTGGGGGGAAAAAAATGAAATAACATTTCATGACACGGGAATTATATACAATTCTAATTTCAGCATCCATAAAGTTTTATCAGAACACAGCCTTGCTCACTCATTTACGTATTACACTGGCTGCTTTCAGAGCTGAGCAGATGCAAAAGAGACCGTAGGTGGCTGTGGCTCTCTCATCACTTTACAGTCATGCTCAGCATACCATGAATTTCAGTGACAGGTGTAACTTTTTTTTTTTGGCGCGGTACGCGGGCCTCTCACTGCCGTGGCCCCTCCCACCGCAGAGCACAGACTCCGGACGCGCAGGCCCAGAGGCCATGGCCCACGGGCCCAGCCGCTCCGCGGCACGTGGGATCCTCCCGGACCAGGGCACGAACCCGCGCCCCCCTCATTGGCAGGCGGACCCACAACCACTGCGCCACCAGGGAAGCCCATAACTTAAAAAAAAAAAATTTTATTTATTTATTTTATTTTGGCTGCGTTGGGTCTTCGTTGCTGCGCGCAGGCTTTCTCTAGTTGCTGCGAGCAGGGGCTACTCTTTGTTGCGGTGCCCAGGCTTCTCACTGCAGTGGCTTCTCTTGTTGTGGACCATGGGTTCTAGACACGCGGGCTTCAGTAGTCGTGGCTCGCGGGCTCTAGAGCACAGGCTCAGTAGTTGTGGCACACAGGATTAGTTGCTCCGTGTTATGTGGGATATTCCCGGACCAGGGCTCGAACCCATGGTCCCCTGCACTGGCAGGCGGATTCTTAACCACTGTGCCACCAGGGAAGCCTTGACAGTTATAACTTGACAGCATGTTGAATACGTCACGTATCACTCATGATACTTTTTTGTTTCATTACCGGTGCACACCTACCGTGTCAAAACATGAAAAGCAGACTTCGAATGCCATGCATTTAAGACACAGTAAAGTGTGGATTATTTTACTGTCAAGTTAGGTGGCAAAGCATTACGGTTATTACACAATGATACTACAGCAGTGCTGAAGGAACACGATATATGTTGACATTATTGACAATATTAAGCATTCATCACAATAATCCCAACTCACAGGAAAGCC